TTTATATAAATGTACTTGAATACACTGATATTTTCTATAGCTTTTTAAAATTTGTATTTTATTTACTCATATTTGATTTATTTTGGTACTGGAGGTTTGGCCCCAAATCTTTACCATTTTTGTGTTTTTGTTATAGGCTCTTGCTAAGTTGCCCAGGCCGGGTTTGAATTTACAATCTTCCTGTCCCAGTCTCCTGGAAAGCAGGGATGACAGCAGGTTCGGGATTACAGGTTATACGCCTGTAGGCTATAACCTAACTTTAGAGTGCACACAGCTTCACTTCTGCTGTGTTCCACTCAGGATGGAGGCAGCTGCTCCCACACGAGGGCACCTGGCTGCCTTCCTCAGCGAAGGCATGAGGTCCTCAGAGAAGGCATGAGGTCCTCAGAGAGGCCTCATTGCCCCTCTCCTCTGGCCCCCGGGGTTCTTACTTTTTCTTAAGTAGAAACTTAGAACATTAAGCATTATTTCCAAGGAGGGGCTGACAGATTTTCGATACTACCCACCAAGGGAAGGCCATCTCTCTAATCGATCACCCTTCCCTGTCCTCCTGGTAAGAGAAATTTTAGCTGGCATAGTGAGACTCCTTTTTCTACTTCCTACACAACTAGGAACTAGACTAAGTTCTGGTGAATGGATTAAGAAGGAAAGTGAGATGTACATCTGATTCATTCTTCCCCTTTCCTCCTTCCCAGAGGCTGGAATAAACGCAGCCCGGACTGTAAGCAGGGCGCTGTGTGGTGAAAATGGTAGAATGTCAAAATGGAAGACACAGCCCGCTGTCCATCTTCGTCAGTCCGCAGTTCTGGGGTTGGGTGGCTTTTAAGAATTTTGGTTGCTATATATGACACCATAGATCGTATTTCTCACACATTTCAAAGGTTTAATTCCGCCCTTCTCCAGGGTGGGGCTCCTAATGTGCTCCTCTAAAGGTCCCATCCATGTGTTCTCCAGACCCTCCCAGTTATAGTTAGAAGTGTGATTTTCCAAGCCCAGTGTGTGGTAGAGGTCCGGGTCATTGCCCAATCACTTTTGCCTTAGTAACAGAAATCTTCATTTGAATAATCAATTTAGCTAAAAGTTATTTTCCCAGCCTCTTTTACTCAGGGATGCCTGTGTCATCGGGTTCTGAGCAGGCAGCTATGTCCAGGTACTGTCTGTAAACTCCGAGGGAAGGGGATGGTAGCTAGAATCCACCTTGTGCCCTACTTTTCTCTTCCCACTTCAAACGGAAGCATGATGGCTGGGGCTCCTGCAGTCAAACAGGGCCACCTAGAATGGAGACCGCAGGCTACAGAGTGCGACAGTCAGGCTGCGGCCCTGATGACACCAGGAGCCATCATTCCAGCCCTACACCACTTACCAGTCATTGCCTACTACTGTAGCTTGCTGAATCTGATTCTGACAAATATTTCTGAAAAGTTAGACTTCATGTGAGCCAAGAGAGGCAGTAGGGGCAAAGTCTAGTCCTGCTGGGGCCCCCTTTCCACTAGGTCTCCCTAACTTTCTCTCTACCCCCTTCAGATACGTGTGGGAGAGGGGAGGGAATGTGGGGGAACCAAGGTAAAGCCCACGAAGAAGAGAGCAATGGAGACAGCTTTCCCATGACTTCGCGCACACAGGTCCCACATACCAGAGCTGTGAGGGCAAACGTTTTAGAGATGAGTACCCAAACTGTAGCCCCTGCAAAGTGCCAACACTGCAATTAAATTGGAGTACTGAAGTGTTAGTTGAGAAAAAAACAATTCATACATTAACATTTTTGTCTTACAAGAAAAACACATGGAGTCAGTTCCATTTGGGGACTATGGAGAGAGAACCAAAGCCTCACAAGGAGGTGATCCCTACCTGGAACCAGTACCATGCACGAGCCACTGCCAGAGTGGGGACAGCCAGATCCAAGCCTCTCTCTGTGAGGCAGCACCACTCATGGACTGCAGACGGAGACAAGGCCTTACCAGGAAGCAATCCTTGCCTGGAAACCGTATCATTTTCATTGTTTTGTTGGGTTGGGTTTTATTCTTTTGTTTATGTTAAATCTGATGGCATGAGCAGGTATTTAAGATAGGAAGACATATTATGGTAGTCATTTTGGATTTACTATTGGCTTGTTTTGAAGTACTTTTATTGCATTCATTGCTTTGTTTTTATTGTTTTGTTTCAATTCTGTTGTTTGATTTTTACTATGTCAAGTTATCTGCAGCTATTTTGAAGACATCAAAAGGTATCATGGTTGACTATGGTTGATTTTGTAATGTTTTGAAGTCCTGTATCACTCATACTGGTTTATTTTGATTTGTTTTACTATTATTTTCCTTGGTCTTATCCTCTTAAAAAGAAAAAAGAAAGAAAAAGAAAAACACAGGAACACACATGAATAAGTTCGTCACCACTATACTAGAGAATCTTTCCTGCCACCTCAGGAGGTACTATCATCCTGGCCTCACAGAAAAGGTGTGGGCAACACAAAAGGCTCACCCAGAAGTCACATACAGTATGTAGGCAGTGAGCCCAGTACAGGGCCTAGTTCAGGCCCAACAAATCACATGTGCTCAACCACCAGACCTGATATCCATGCCTCAAGACAGAGCCAGGGCTCTTGGCCCACCAGACAGGGCTTTTGACCTCTGCTTCCAAGCATAAACTACCTGTGGCTTTTCCAGGCTAGATGGAGGGTGGGAGAAATAGACGGAAGATCAAGTCCCTCCTGTGGCAAAACACTTCCCTCCATGAAGATCCCATCCTGAAGCCCAAAGCCCCATATTGAAGATATGTAACAGGATGAACTTTGTTATACAACTGTTTGTTATGTAAACATTTATGTAACTGTAGAGGGAAATCGATACATGTTCTATCTCTGTATGTGAGAAAGAAGTGTGGTAGAATATTCAGCTAAGGTGTAAACACAGATGAGTGAGTGTTGAATTATGATGGTTACATTATTTAATTTCCTAAAATGAACCCTTAATAAAAAGTGAACAACAAATAAAAGTGACAATTTTATCTAACTCTTGAAATGACTTCCACCTTCCTGACCTGCCCTTAAGAACAGGGTTATAATGGGAAATTTTCTGAAGGCTGAAGAGGCCTGGCAGACTCCCCCAACACATTTACCTACACTGAAGGTGATTCGCTCCACAAATGAGAGGTTACCAGAATGACCTCAATAAGAACATAAGAGAGGAGAGGAATGGCCAAGACTTGTAAAGGGAAAGGTATACATGGAAGGCGAAATAACTGGCCCAAAGCCCTCAGCAACAAGTGATCAGTCACTGAGAGAGGAACAGCAGATGGACAAAAGAATAGCAATCACAGGAAGAAGCAAGCAGCAGCAGAACCATGTAGGCAGAGGTGAGATCGTGGAATGATCTTTGAATTTCTGAATTTGGGGTAAGTAGTATTTTACAGCTTTTAACAATACGGTGCTTTTCTATTGGCATTTGTACTTCCTTGAGTATCTATAGAAGGATCAGGGTCTTTAGGACGCATCCAACTATTACATACATGAAAGACAGGCCAGGACACCTTGATGAAGAGAATACGGCTTCTCTGTGGACATGCATCAAAACAAACCATACCAAAGAGACCGTACAAGGTACTCTCGTTTCAGAGAAACCCTAAAGGCCTCAAACTCCACTCTTCCTCCCCATTTTCTTCTCCTGCCTTTCCTAGACAGCCCTCCAGCTTGACCACTATCCAGTGCAGAAGCCCACCAACTGTTTGACCTCAGTCCAACACCACCTCTTGCCCAGAAGCCTGAGAATACAAGTACAGATGGGGAGGGGCAGCTGGAGGGAGGCAGTGAAGGCTAGAATGGAATGGTCCAGCATCAGTGACTGATCGCATGGGCTCCATTCAAATCCTAGCCTGCTCCAACCATCTGTGTGATCTCAAGCAAATCAACCTTCATGTACTTCCTCACTAGTAAAACAGGCAAAACAGTCCTTATAATCTAGGATTGCTCTGAGGATGAAATAAGTTAGTACAGCATTACTCATGGAGCATGCAGAACAAACTTTTTGGCCAGCAAGTAATAAAGTAAGAACATGAACTCCTGAGCAACCAGACTACTCTCTGCTCAATTGAGTTTAGGAATGATGTGGCTCCTATTTGGGCCTGTTTGTAAAACTGCAAAGCATAATGATCATTTCTTTTTTAAACAACAAAAAAAAAAAGATTAAATAACCCAAGAACAGTGAGGGAAGACAAAATTAGCTCCCATCTAAAACAAAATGTCTGACACTGTTTCCATGTTTCAATATGCATTCTTGAGCTCAGAGGGAGACCAAGGCTGCTTCCCAAGTGGCCATAAGGCCAATTCTTTTCTTCTGGGCAGGGCTTCCCAGAGACTTTTGCCTGTACCAAGGATGAAGCTCCTGTTTCCAATCAACTGTCACTTGGCCCTGAAGTTTTCAAACCCACAAATGAATCAAGCTGGTGGGTCACAAGCAATGCTGCTTTTTGAATGAATTAGTAGACAACAGAAACTATCAGACTTTATTACTTGTGATACAGGTAACATTTAAGAGTGTGTACTGTCCCTGGTGTGTCAGTGTAAAATGCAGTCTCACTGGGATCACAATCAGAAGCCTAAATGCCACCCTCCAGCCCACTGCCAGGTACCCACCCAGGGAGGCAGCCAAGATGTGTTGCCTGAGCCACAGAGGGCATTCGGCACAAAGCGGTCACTCAGAAGGATGCACACACCCAGATTCCCTCGGCGAGGCCTGTGCAGTGGCAAGCATTCTGCTTGAGGACCTGTATCCCAGCTCTAGTGATTACCAACAGGGAGGCAGCCTGGAGTCCCCACTCTACCATCAAACCTGGCCTCATTTTGGTATCTGGTCCCTCCTCAGCTGTCCCGTGGCTTCTTTCCCTCCAGTCCTTATCTCCTTCGACCTATCTACTTTCTCTCACCTATCAAGGCTTTCCTTTTTTTACCCCACTCTCCACCTCCTTTCCCAGGATATATGCACACAACATCCATGCACACACGCAAATTTTTTCAGACAATTCAGCCTTTATTTTTGAAAATAATTCTGTAGATTCCATTTTCTTCTGTGCAACTAAACTCAGGCAATAAAAACACACAAGTCTCTCTCTGATCTGCCATCTCCCAGCCTGTGAGGCTGCGGGAAGGCAAGACCTGTTCCAGCACTAGAGCTGTCCCGATCTCAGCTACTCTAACTCAAGCTAAGAAGGCCACTTGAAGTTGCCCTCCTCAAGGAGGGGCCTGCGCACCGAACCCCAGGAGAAAAAGGGACATGAGGAGCTCATCTGTCTTCAAGCCAGCATGAAAGTCTCCTGAAAGACAGAGACTGATGTCGTTTTTCGAAAGAAGGGGGTCCAGGAATAGTATCTCTGAGGCAAGAAATGGGTGGGGAGTGAGGGCTTTGCTCCCACCGCCTTTCCCCTGAAAGCTGGGCATGAGCCAAGGGGGAGATCGCACTTTTCCTCCTCTACATTTCATCTCTGAACTACCAAGCTCTAGGCTGCAGAGAAAGAAGAGCTGAGAGGGGATCAGTGATAAGGAGAGGACAGGATAGAGGACACCCTGGCAACCCATCAACTCCACTCCAGCCCTGCAGGGACACCCCTTTGGTTAGCCTCATTTTGGCCACAAATACATTCTCTTCTCCACAACTCAGTTCCACACTGGGGAAAGGTGACAAAAGAGAAAAAAGGAGGAGGTTCATGCCCTGGCTGGTCAAGAGAGCTGACATGGCCAACCTCTCTGCAGAGACCATAGGAGGAAACCCAGGAGTGGACATTCTTGGCCCTAGTAAGCTCCTCTCTCCTACCACACAGTGGTTTCTTCTACAATACCTCCCAACACACCTCTGAATGGCCCCTCTTCTCTGACTCCCTTGAGAACGGGAGAATAATCCTCATCCTATCTGCGCACCTGAATGCCACTCAAAAAAAATGCAAAAGGAAAAACAAACAAAAGATAAATGGACCCAAAAGGGCAACACAGACAGGACGATACAGCTCAGGGATTACAGTCCCATCTCAGCTCATGACATGGCAAGAAAAAAACCCCAGAGGGACAGGCAGGTGCTGTTAATTCCAACTAGGATCATAGCCATCCCAGGTCTGTGGTGGCGCCAGATGGACGCGGCGGCCCCGGAAATGGAAGGTGACAATGCCTCGATAGCCAGCCCTGGGAACACCTGACTTGAGGTCATCCATGACCCCAAGGGCCTTGGCAAAGGCCTTGAAACTGTCCCTAGTTGTATACTGCACCCGCACCTCCCCCAGCTCCTTCCGCTCATTGGTCCTCACTTTTTCCACCTGTAGCTGGGGAGCACCATAGACGCGGGCAAGGAAATCACGGTCATAGGCCTCCCGCTGCAGGTACGACAGGTCCAGTTGGGTGAAGGGCACAAACTGCTGGTTCAGCTTGATGAACTTGAGATGCTGGTCAAAGAACTGCCCATGGCTCACACCCTTGCGGCCAAAGGTCATTGTTCTTGAGATTTCAGGGCGCACGCAGGCCCGCCCTTTCCGTTGTTCAGGGCGGCGCATCCAGTCGTCCCAAAAGGCCTTGGGCCACTTGGGCTCCAGCTCAGCCCACAGTTCAGCCAACAGCAGCCAGCCCAGGCCAGGAAAAAAGTCTGTGCGATAGAGCAGTTCTGGCTTGCTCAAGTCCACCATCTGCTCCTTGCCATTGTCATTCCAGGCAGACACACACCAAAGAGAAGGGTCATTCCTCAGCAGTGGGTAAGTGGCCTGGAAGTACTCAAAGAAATCTGGTGCCACTTCTAGATCATCTTCCACCACCACAGTTGCTGGGAACTTGAACTCATGGAAGATCTGCCCCAGTGCCCAGCGATAGTGCCTGGCAATCTTGTAGTAACCCTGAAACTTGCGGTGGTCAGGCTGCACAGCAATGTTGCTCAGGTCAGGCTGCCGGATGTGCGTGACAGCACTGCCATAGGAAGCGATGACCTGGGCTGTTTCCTCGTGCCCACAGTCCTGGCTGACAATAATGGGGAACTGCTCAGCTGAGGGACGGTAATGCAACAGCTTGTCCAGGCAGCGTCGGACAGTGCTGCGGTCACAGGCAATGACCAGGATGGGAATCACAGCTGGCGATGGCGTCACGGGCACTCGAGGCTGGGCAGGAGGAGCTACAGTGGGCACCTTCCATCGCTGGCTCCACAGAGCATGGTGCTCCCTGATCTCCTGCAACAGCCCCCGCTGACGCTCCAACTCCACCTCAGCATCCTGGGCCAGGCGGATCACCTCGCGGGTAAGGCTGGCAGGGTCATCATCAAGAGCACTGTCTAAGGGCGGCCGGCCAGGTGCTGGGCGTGTCCAGAAGAAGAGGAGCAACAGGGCATTCCAAGCCACAAAGAGGATTGCTCCCCACAGCACAAGCCCTGCAGACTGCTTCTTCAGCATCCTGGCCCCCACCGGGGAGGGCAGGCAAGGGAGGGCTTGAGGCTGCCCGTGGGTTTCCTTGACCACAGTTCCAGGGATAAAGCTTCCCCTGGCTATGGAATTAGGAAGCAGTCATGCACCTAAAAAGAAAAAAGAAAAAAGCAACTGTCATCCTAAAGGCATGAGGCTCCACACTTAATGGGAATGTAGGAATGTAGAGGGCAGGAACAGAAAAAGTAAGGGAGCAAGAAGTAGACAGTTGACTCAAGTCTCTTAATGAGAGGCTGCCCTTCCCCTAATCTCAGAGCATCACGCCTTACTACTCTAAAATAGCTAATTACTCATCAGAAAAACAATAATATTTAAGGGGAGATGAGGGACACTGGTGAAACGGAGAGAGCAAAAGAACATGAACTCTCCCTTCACAATCTGATGGATTTCACTTCTATCAGAGTACAAGGGAGAGTGAAACCACCTTCCACTCCTCAAAAAAAAAAAAAAACTGCCCTAAGAGTATGGATTTACAAATAAGATATCACATCTCATTTATGAAGAAAGCATTAGAGACACTCTAAAGAGCATTAGGAATAAAGCCAAGTGCCCATGAGCTCTGTGGCTACTAACATTCTATTGGAGGTACCAATGCAATGAGTACCTAACCGAACAAAACAGGTAGAGGCATCTCTATTTGTTAATGCTGCAAAAATATGCCCAAAAACTCTAAATCTAGTACATGATATTTATAATTATTGGACAAAAGGTCTTAGGAGCTTAAAGTGTTGGTATTAATTGACTGCTAACTGTTGCATCATATAAGAAAATAAACCAATTCTTAGGAAATAGATATGAAAGTGTTCAGAAGGGCTATGACAGATTCCATCAAACAGTCAGAACAAAAATGGGTGTGTGTATGTGTGTGTATGTATGCAGCAAAGAGAACAAATGGAATAAATGTTGATAACAGATGAATCTCAGTAAATAAAATACACCATTTTTATTCTTGCAATTTTCTTAAAGTTTGAAACTATTTCCAAATAAAATTTCTTAAAAATAAAGTATGGGAACATGGCCCACAGGTCTGAATAGCTTCACCCATCAACGTGATCCTAGCTGGGCATAAAGTTTAATTAAGGAGAACTGAGATAACATTTGCCTTGAATTCTTTAATCATTTCATGATATGTATTGCATACCTGCTCTGTGCTACTCTTCTGAAAGGGAGAAGGAAACACAATCAGCAAAATAAAGTCATGACCCCAACAACCCTTCATACTGCCAGACTGCATTACTTAGAAGGACCTAAAATACCCTCTAAATGCCAGACAGTTGCCATTTCCAATTACATGATTCCGAGCCTTCCTAATTCTGGTCTCAACTGTACATACCCCAAAGCTTCAAGGATGTACTCTCTTGTGCCAGCTACTTTATAAATTAACCTCTGGCTTATAGCCTTGTCCTTTCTTCTAGTCCACACCCTGGGTCCCAAATCTAATCTCTGCAGCCCTTAAGTCTCAAGTTAACAGATCTCGTATGAAAGGGCTTATGTTGAATAGGAACCTGGCTTCTGTCTCCCGCCTGGAGAATACCCTAGTTTCTGCCTGTGTCCACCACCTCTTGTTTTTCTCCTAGATACCAACCACACCCAATTCTAGATCACTAGTGTTCTCAGGAACCTTAAGACTATTTCCACTTAACTGTGGAATTAAGTTCCTATTTTATCAGGGCTTATATGTTACCCCTGACAATGGAGATACACAGACTTCCAGCTCTTCCCTCTTTCTGAGGAAGGGAACAGTATTGTAACTTTCCTTCCAGTCTAACAGCCAGGATTCTGTCCCTCATTACTTCCTGCCTCCTAAGCAACTGAGCAGGTAAAAGGTGGCTTTAGGTAAAGGGAAAGACAAAAGAGTCAACTTCATTAACTGGAATGCTGTCCTTAGGAACAGTCAACAGACCATCTCTAACTTAGCAACATGCTACATTAGACCTACAAGTGCTCAGGCTGGTGGGAAAACTTCAAGGGACCATATCTTCTCTACTCAGATGATTTCTGTACCTTTCAAAAGTATTTTACATTTTGTTTTTAGATTTTAGAATTAGGCAGCACACACCACTACCAGAGGCCTTCAAGTCATGCAAATAAAAGCTTGGCAAGGCTGTAAACATCTAGAAGGATCATTCACAGGAATAGCTGCCCTATTCCAATCCCAGCCTCCACCTTAACCCTTTGGGCCTTTGTTCTCCACCCTTTGGCCATTTTGTACCAATTCTCAGAGAACTTGCTCCTCTTGCAATAAAAGAACATATATCCCTATTCCCAGGCCCCACCTGCTTCTCCTGTGCAGCTTTGCTGCTGTTTATCTGTCTGTTCGTCAGGGCAGGATCCTCAGTTCTGTCTGTAAGTTAGTAGAATATGCACACATTAAAGCTTGAGTGCTTAGTTGTGTTTAATGGATAGCTAAAGTAAGGCCTTGGCTAGCAGAGCTGACACACTTCTCTAGGGGACACTGCTCAGAGACCCGCTCAGGCTACCATCAAGAAGGTACAGCAACCACAAAGGCAAGCAAGACAGTTCAGAGCCAATGAGTAGCATCACCGTGTGTTTCTCCACATCCCTCAGATTCAATTTTCTTAGTCTAAGATGGAAATCAGGATACTTCACTGAGTTGCTGTGAGGACTGAACAAGACAGGATATGACAACAGTAATGTTAGCCAATTGCTCATTTCACTGCTCTACTCCACTAGACTTACTTCAGACCCTCTTTCTTCCCTCAGGGATTTCACATGTGACTACATGCCCAGACCACTCCTCGTCCTCTTCTTCATCTGATAGTCCTAATTTATACCTGCCAAGATAGCTTCCTCAATGCCTTTGGACAATGCAAGTCCACCTCTCCTTCAAAATCATCAGTGCCAGCGCACCCACTTGCTTAACATCTGTCAAATCCTTTCAGCTGAAAGCTGAACAAGGACAGGGACTGGCTTTCCACCAGTGCTGCCCAGCTGCTGTGCTAGAACCCCCAATATTCAGATCGGCGTCTGACCTAAAAACTGGCTTCAGCGTGGAGGAGGATGCTACACACACCCACAAAATCCCTCAACTGTAATCCACCCCCGCCACACACAAAAGTGCTGAAAAACAGTTCCCTAAATTCTTTGGCAGTAAAAAATCTAACCCAGCTTCATTTGGTGAAATCTGAACTGATTCAACTTGAGGCTATTTATAGTCTTTATTTATACTATTTAGTGTGTCTACTCATATATCTTGCAACAGAAATAAACATAGTGCATTATGGTATATGGCTTCAGATCTGAAGACATGTGGTAAATATACTGGACTTATTTTAAAATCCAAAAAAATTCTAAATTGTCAAACATCTACTCCAAGAATTCCAGATTATAAAAATGGAAGAAAACTACTCTTTCACTGCCAGGGTCTCCCACACTTAAAGTTCTCAAACCCTTTAACCATACCTCTATCCTTATTGTGAAATACTATTTTAAGCCTGAACACTTGATGTAGTTTTCTAGCTGATTCACCTATAGCGTCCCTCTAAATAGCTTTCTTTCCAAACAGAACGAAGTATCTTCCTGAAGTACTTGCCTGATTACAGCATAAACCTGCCTTTAAAAATCAAAGCTGCCAACGTCCACATAAAAATAACTCAAACTCGGGAGGCTGAAGCAGGAGGATCACTGTAAGTTTGAGACCAGCCTGGCTACAAAATGAGCCCAAGGCCAGCCTGAACTGCATAGCAAGACCTTGTTAGGACAAAAAGGACAAAAAAAAAAAAAAAAAAAAAGGAAAGAAGAAAAAAGAAAACCAGGGGCCACAGATTTAGTGTAAGTGCTTGCGTGCAAGTTTGAGGTCATGAGTTCAATCCCCGGCACCAGAAAAAAAAGAAAAGAAGGAAGAAAACCCTCAAACTCCTTACCATTTACAAAAGCCTTTACAAGAAACTGTCATATCATTTTCAACTCCCATCTCCAGCCATGACAACTGATTTCCCCATTAAGGATACTCATATGTGTCCGTATGTTTGCTCCAGCTGGTCCTTCATCCTAAATGCTACCCATAGGCCCACCTGCAAGCCATCCACACACACTCAAAGGTCCACTTCAGGAGATTCCTCCTGTAACACCCCATTCCTTTCTTGTTCACTGTCCTGCTCTTGTATCATGTATCAGAGGCATGCCTCCCTCTGACTACAATCCCATAGCACTCTCTCAATGTTGTAAGAGAATGTACGGCCATACACAGCTCTCAGCTTATTCCCAAGAAAAAAAGGCTCTGTACCTTTTTCAATCTCTATACCTATCATGGTGGTTAGTATATGTGTAAAGTTGAAGGACTGCCTGTATCATTAAATAAGTCAGGGAGAAAAAACCAAAACATCAGCAAGAGAATGAAGAATTATATTTTCAGGCTGCCCCATACCCAATCCCAACCCAATATGCTTTCGTTATGCTGCAACACTTCCTTCAACAGGTGAGGGTCCATGCATCTCTGCTGGATTGAGGAGACCTATAACTGGAAGAAGTGAGGCTCTGTGACTTGCAAGACTAATTCATAAAGGCCAATATAGTTCCTACCTGGTGCTCTTGAAACGCTTGCTCTTGGAAGCCTGCCACATGGACAGGACATCTAAAGGTATTCCATCTAAGTTCATAGCCAAATGCCACCATCACCCATAAAATACATCACCTACAAAATGTAGAAGAAAGCCTTTAGATGCAATCATGCAAACACATACTGATAAAAGTAAAAATTTAAAAAACAGAGCTGTCTTCCACCCTGACCTGAGTTCCCTTATTTTTGTTTGAGATATTCTTATAAGGCATAAACTCGAAACTATCCACTTTTCCAGCATTTTCAGAACTCCTTCAAGGAAGTGAGTGGGCACCACCAAGTACAAAGGTATGTGTGCCGGGGTAGGGGATGTGAAGTGAGTCTTTTTGGTATATAAAAAACCTTCAGCCAAAACTCAGATAGTGCTGAGCTGATCCTGGTACCAATTGCTATGGTACTCAAGTTTGTTCACTGGAAGGCTGGCCTAATGACAGATTCCTGATTCTATGCTTTGTGCCCTCTCTCAGGCAAAAAAAAAAAAATGTTTCTGAAACAACAAATAGTCAACTTCCAATCACAAGCAATAGTAAAGAAGCTGTAAAATAAATACAGAAGTAGACTTTCCCTTCTAGCTCTGCTTTACTTAATACGTTAGAAAAAAAAGTACTGCGCTAAAAAACACAGCAGGCACAGAACACATCACAGATAATGGAGAGCTAAATGAATTACTTTCTTGTTCCCTAGTATACTCTTGTATCTTGTACCAGGCTCCATCATTTTCAGCAGCATGGAAGAACTGAAAAGGGAGTCAGAGAAGATAAAGTAAATAATTCAAGGGTTTAGAGAATAAGATCTAGGATGCAGATTATTCATGGGCAGAAGAGGATAAAGAGAAATACAATGTTAGTACAGCAAAAGCATGAAGGTTGGGGATTCCAGCACCTGAAAGTTAAGTACCCTTTCAGGCAAGCTCTCTGAGCCACATGTGCCCCAGTTCCCTCATCTGCAAAGGGCAGAGTTGATCTGGGTCATCTCTGTGATCTGGTGTCTGATGATGTGATCTCTCCAATGCCCCAAACAGGAAGTAAGTTTAACTGTCACACATGCCACCAATGTAAGACACACTGTGGTACTTTCTGTAAAAGTTAAGACAGCAAGTAAGGATCCAGATGGTCTCAGTCAGGTATCAGTGATATGAGGTGGCGAAAAGATCCCAAGCATCAAACAGCAAAGGCTATGCAGTCTGAGAAGCATTAAAAAGGCCAGAAAATAAAGCTAAACACCTCTGCCAGTGATGCTGTAAATCTAAAGCAAAGACTTAGCACATTACAGGGCAACGTGAAGCTTCCCCGCTAGACTCACTCTAACACAGAGACACGGGGAGACCAGCCAATCTCTCTGCTCCGCACTTCATGATGACCCTGGGCACAGCAAACAGGTAGAAAGTTCTCGCCAATTTACATATTTCAACTCTGAGTCAATTATTCCTCACAGCAAGAATGAACGAAAACAAGCCCTGGTAACTTTCGTGGCCCCGACACCAGCTTGAAGTCTGGGGACCGGTCACCTCCCTCCCAGGGCACACACGTCTCCGAGTCCTGGCTCCTGCCTGCCCCACCCCACACCCACAGCCTCCCCGCCCAGAAGCCCGCCCTCTTGCAACAGCTGGAGGCCGGGTTCCGAAAGCAGAACGCAGAGTTGCACTTCCCGGCTGGCTCCGAGGGGACGGGGCGGAAGCATGGCCGTTGGCCGGGACCCCTCCGCCCCGCCCGGAGGCTGCAGATCCAGAGGGCGCTCACAGCGCCAAGCAGTCGCCAGCCTCGAGGGGCTCACACCGACTCCCCGGCTCCCCAAACGCTATGGCTCCAGCTCCTGGGCTCCGGCTCTGCCAGGCCACCCCTTAATTCTTCTCTGCACTCTGAGCCTTCCCAGGGGCGTGCGCAAGAGCGGGTGGCGCCTTGCCAGGCCACTCACTCACCAGCTTCTCCCAACTTCCTCCTGGCCGCAGCCGCCCGCGCGGGGCTCTCGGAGCAGGTAAGCCCGCAAGTCCTGGCCGTCCGGGTCTCTACCGCCCTTCCTGCCGGCTAGGCGGGTGGGCGGTGGCAACGTGGCCCTTCCCGGGCCGGGGCGGGGCGACCCCCCACACCCCGCCTGCCGATAGACTCCGCCCCGACCTCCTCGGCCACCTCCTCCCGACTTCAGGCCGCCTAAATTCTCCCCAGGACCCAACTTCAGGGGCCCCACGGCTCCTCCCACGCCTCCCGCGCCTGCCGCTCGGCCGCACACCGCCCTGGTCCACAGCCACAGGGCCAGGTACTGGCTCCTGCCGGAAGTCCCAAGATTGGCGGTGGATAGCGGGAGTGGAGCGCGGTTCAAATGTAGGCTAAACTACAAAAGTAAGGTGCCTAAGATCGAGTAGCCACCCTCATCTCCAGCCCTACGGGAAGCTTCGGACTCTGAACGAGGAAACAAGGGCGCAAGGAGCCCTAGATGTGAGGCCGGGCACCAGAGAAGGTAGAAGGAAACACCTGATGCCAAAGGTGGTGACAGACTGGCTGTGGTTCGGTTTGTTTTGTTTTATTTTGTGGGGGAGTGCACTGCTGGTTCTGACTGCACAAGAAGAGAGCAAAGGGGCCCACCCTGGGGCAGAACCAAAGAAAGAAGGAAGCAATCACAGGCTGGATGTTTACAGCCCTCCAGCATTTTAGAGAGGATAACCTGACCCCAAGAAACCTCAGCAATAGGAGGGGACGGACCTCCACAAAGTGCTATGAGGGAAAAAGAAAACACACAAAACCAGAGGCTCCAGCACCTGTCTGAGGGGTCAAAGGTGACTCCAGAGCACAGAGAATTTCTCTGAGGTCCGAGCCCTGGGTATTAGGACAGCCCACTCTGTGCGACTCCGGTAAGACAAGGAGCTGTTTCTGGGAGCCCCTACTGCCCACTCACCTCCATCCCACTGGCCCTGTTCCTCAGTCGAGCATCCTCCCTGCTGACCCACTGCAGAAGCCTTAGCTCCCCCACCCAGTCCTCTCACCCTAAGAAGTGAGGATGAGGGTAGCAGACTACAAGCTACTGTACAAGTCGCTTTCCAGGGCCTGTGTGATCAGGGGATGCTCTACTGACATCAGACTGTGTCAGGCGACAGGCTTCCTCAAGGTATGCAGGGCATAGTCAGCCAGAACTTTTGTCATTTGCTCCTGAGTGACTGCTGGCTGACTTGTTTCCACATTTAACCAGAACTGTGCATGGCTCTACAGAAATGAGTGCAGGAAGGGTCAAGTCTTACAGTACTGCCTGAGAGTGAGGAGCAAAACCAAGATCACAGGCCACTCAGAGCAAGCGCTCTGACAGAGGAGACAAAGTCTGGCTCACTCTAAGTGGACGGCTTACAAACGAACCTGTAGTTTCTCTCCCCAAAGCTTTACAACAGAGGTGAGATGGTCTTTGTCAGGTCAGATGCTCTAAAGCAGCGCAGCATTCCACAGGTGATCTCCTCACCTGCCACATACCCACAGGAATCCTTCCCTTTGGTCTTCCTCACAAGAAACTGGTGAGGAAAACTGACACAACAGACCAGATGTCTCACTTTATATAAGCACTATACAAACACAACACAACATCTTCACTTGCATGTTGCAGGACCTTTCAGGAGAGTAGAGCCTCCTGGACAAAATGAGGAAAACCTTCCACACAGTGTAGGATCCCAGAGACAGATGAGGAGGCATTTTGGAACCACACAGCCCTAAGGGATTTGGTGCCTAAGCAAAGACTGGTACCAGGAATTTGCAAGATGAATTTGGAGTAAGTAACACACCTGCTCTAAGACCCGTACCTTCACCAGTGCAGCAGCTTAACCTGGAAAGAGCTGCCCTAGGCACCAGACCAGAAGAGAAAGAAAAGCTCAAGGTTAGGGATACTACTCAGGCCTTTGGAGGAGGCAGTGACTCCCATGGGGATGGGGTGAGCAACAAAAAAGTAAGGCATAAATACAGGAGTTTCAGGTACTGCTGCCAACCCCCAGGGAATGTGAGGGCCAGCTGTTACTCAGAGATAAAGAAATGTTAGAGGCAAAGAAATGTTAGAACCCAAGCTTACAAACCCGCTCAGGCAAAAGTTCATACTATTTCTCCTAATATGGGCACCACCTTTTCTTTCTGCTGTTTGCTTCACTATGAAATATAGGCACGTTAGCATAGGTAACTGAGCTTGAGAAAGGTGCAGGCAGGAGGTAAGAAGATAACTATGAACAGGTTGTTTTACTGAGTAACGCAGCCTGCAAAAATATGATTGACTAAAAACAGTTTGTTACCTCAAAAAAGTCTAAGACTATGATATGGCACAGGAAGAAAAGGCCCAGTGGTCACCTCAAGAAATGAAGTCACATCTATTACCTGGACACTTGGCCCTGGAGACTTAAACATCCCACCACTTCTCTTTAACCTGCTACCCCAAGAAGCACACTGTCAAAATGGAGAGGTTTGGAGCCAACACAGTTAAATTCTCCTTAAACCACTAACCTTTGTATAATAGGATGCGCCAGATATTAACAGCAGCAAAACGAAACAAATTCAGAGCAGGCTTTTAAGCCTTTTGCCAGCCTTCTGCCAGCAATATAGAATTCAATATAGAACAGAACCCATTCAGAGCTTTTCTTTGTGTAACCAACAGGTGTATCGAGTGATGCCAGTGTTACTGTTTTATATGTATACTGCCTTCGGCACTGGTGGAACACTAGTTATCAATATTTTGCAAGTGGAGAGAACATGGCAAAGGTTAATCAACGTATCTAGGCTTGCACATGAACCAAGAAAATCAAAGTAGAATATAAATCCTACTATTCCCCAACTTGGGTTGTTTTTCTGTTCTTTCCATGGGGTTTTATGGCCTAACCTCTCTTAAAAGGAAGGAGGAGACAGTTTAGGAGATTATCTAGAATACTTACCATCCCGAAAACTCTCCTCACTGCTATATTCAGTGAGCTCCCCAAGAAAACCAGCTTACCCTGCCCTGGGTAATCTCTTTCAGTCTTAGGCCAAATTGACTTGAAATCTTGTTATCTCACTGATGGAAAGGGCTGTAAGAGTAATCTAATCCAACATCTCTTCACACACCCGAATTCTTTTCATGTTCTCCTAGGTCTAACCTCACTAAGCGAACCTCAAAATCCCAATTATTCACAATCCTCTCCTAGGCACCTTTCTGGCCTTGGTAAGGAAAGAATGAGAACAAATTTGAATCCAAAAAACCAAAGGAGAGGTGAAGCTTTCTGTGTACACTAGGAAAAAGATTTTCATGTCGATGTAGATGGCGTCCTTGCTGAATAGCAGTGTCCCTAGACACTGCCATTCAACATTCTCTGCACAACAGCAAGGCACTAAGTGAGAAATGAGGCAAGAACCTTACCTTTCTTCTCTTAGTTGCTCCCCTGGAGAGCATCGAACCCCCATTCAGCATTCCATTTCCAAAACTCAGGATCCAAGTCAAATCCACTAAAAAAACGTGCAGTTTCTTTTACCCAGGTCCAAAGTCCATGGCTGAGTGGACCCTGAGGGGGAGGAGTCTGGGGGGAAGGGGTGTGCCCAGGCCCCTCCCCCCCTGCAGATATCAAAGTCCTTTCCAGGAGGCCTTCACATTGCTTCATTCAGCTGGTTTATTAAGTTCAGTGGCTAGTGATAGACAGATCCCAGGTACTATCCCATGTGTTGATCAGGCAGGGGAGGTCATCCACTATGAGGACTGGTTCATCTATCTTCTGCTGGGGCTCAAGAGAAGAAACAGATCTTAAAACCAGCATGGCCTGTAAGGCTGATTTCTGAGTTCACCTGTAGAATAAACATGACACTATAATCTAGGGTATACACAAAAAGATCCTGGGGTATATAGCTCAGTGGTACAAAGTCTGCCTGGCAGGCACAAGGTCTTCAGTTCAATTTCCAGTACCTAAGTAAATAAAGGCCAAGTATTCTTAAGACTTTCTAGTTTCCTCTCTATATCTAAAGTGCATTTCTTTACTGTGCTGCATCGCCAAAACCTCATCCGTAAATACTCCAAAGGTTAGACAACGTACCTAATTTATTTACATACTGTACCACAAAACACACATTTATTATCATGGGTGCATCCATATGGCTCAGGATAAAAGTTGTACCTATTCTCATTATAGAAAAGCAACAAAAAAATTGATTGTATGCAGGCTGTATTCTAAAAAATATAGAAAAACCCATCGTCCTCTCATCTAAAGCACTATCAAACCTCCCAAGCCTCTTAGGATATTCAGTACTTTAATCTGCCACCTCTCTTCAACTGAACTAAATCCTTTCCAGACCGAGATGCTGGTGTCTTCATACGCATTCCTTGCCCCCTTTTCTTCAACCTTCACTTCCCCCTCTGCTTCCAAAAATGTGCCTGGGATTAATTCCCAATCACTGTCAAACTCCTGCACTCCCCAGAGCACTCTCCTGGAACCTGCAAGGCCCGAGCCCTACCTGTAGTAGCCCCAATGTATCTATCAATCTAACGTGTCACTACAGACCCTACCTCTGTGACCCCACCTAAATTTATTCACATTCACTCACACTCTCTCTCTCTTTCTCTCTCTGACTTGCACACACGCCCTTCCTCGATTCCTTCCTGTAGGGGCGTGGCAGCCTTGTAAACCCCTTCCTCAACAAGGACTTAACTCCACCCACCCCCGTCCCTAAACCCAGGTCCCGAAGTTCCCGCAGCAGCGGGCGACACTGCGACCTCCCCGGCTCCAAGCCCCATCCCTCCGCCGTACGGACGCCCCTCTGCTCCGCTGCGGCCTCCTCACCTGAACCCGCTCTGCTGAAGGCGCGCCAGCAGCCTCCGCCCGCAGGCCCGAGTCCCGACCCGGCCGAGGCCCCGCCGCCGGCCCAGGCCCCACCCCCTCGACCCCGCGGCCCGGCCCTCCCGGCGCCCTTCCCCGCCCGCCCTGCCGCCGCCACTTCCGTCATCCTCCGGAAGCGGCCCGGGCCGTCGCGGGGCCCACATCCGGCCTGGGCCGCCCGCGCCCCGGCCCAACCCCGCTACTGCAGGAGCCCGGGAGACAGCTGCGGCACCGCAGGGTCTACACTGTTCCCACGACTGCAGACGAACTACGGGCCGGACCCGCTCTGGGTGAGACACAGAGCTGAGGGCGCGGTACAGGAGGGGACAGGACCGAAGCAAGGCCCCCGTGCGGAAGCTGGTTTCCCCCGGCGCCGCGGAAGGAAGGGCGCATGCGTCGAGAGCTGGGCAGGTCGCCTGCTCAGCTGCGGGACTGTTTGGTCTAGCGGACTGGGGGGCGGGGCTTCGCGGGTGCAGGATTGAGATCGCCTAGCAACGCCTAGGGAAGAGCTGATAGAGCAGGGGTCGGCAAACTCCGGTCTCCAGATCCTGAGCTGGGGAAAGGCCATTCAGAAAGCGCCAAGGACAACTGTGTTTGCCTGTTCCTCTGCCGAAAGCTCTCACAAGTAGTTCCAAGGAAAGTTCTTTCATTTTGTTTCTGACTTTTTCTCGCAGCGTCTCTGCCTAAGGCAGGACCTTCCTTGACTAAAAAGAGAAAAGAACTGGGGTATTAATGAAAATTGCCCCCATATAGCCCTTGACCGTACCCGCTCTTCGCTGAAGTCTTTACAGGTAATTGAATATTCACAAACTAGGAACCCAAAATGCCTTCCTCACAGCAAGGGCTGTTGGAGGACCAAACCGTGCAGTCTCGTCATGAACCACGTCTTTACTGCACGCAGCACCACCACTGTCAAGTACCTCCTGTCTCCTTGCAAGAAAATTTCTCCCTCAAACCCTGGGCTTCTGTTATAGTTTGTGTCCGGATGTTTTCGGAGGTGACTGGATTTAGGATGCGTGATGCTGAGATTAAGGGTACCCCACCGTGAGTGTGGGTGGCACCCAAAGGGCAGGTATTCTGGATGAACTACAAAGCCAGACTGCTGCTGCTGCTGCTGTTGCTGCTGCTTCTGCCTCTGCCGCTTCTGCCTTCTCTGCTATGCCATGGACTGTTACTCCTCTGCATTGCCCCACTGCCATGCCATCCTGCCTTGAAGCCAGCTAACTGTGCACTGAAACCTCTACAAACTTTGAGTGTTTTCTCTATTAACTTTAGGTTTTTGGTATTTTGTCTCAACAATGAGAAAAGGAGGACAGCTGCCAAGTTCTGCAATTACCAGGTTGCTTTTTTCTTGACTTCAAGCTGAATCCAAGTAAGACACTACTACGTTTTGGGAGTTCATATGCCATCTTATGTTCAGAAATCTTGCCAGAACTGTAGACATGTACAATTTCTCCTTGTTTTGAAAATTGGAACATAGACACTAATCTTTTGGCTTTTTTTTTTTTTTTTTTTCCTCTTTTAAGTAGGAAGGACTGAGCTCAGGGCCATGACACTGAGCTACATCCATCTCACCTGCTTTTTAATTTTTTTAAATTTTGAGACAGGGTCTTACTAAGTTGTCCAGGCTATGATTGAACTTTGACTCTTCCTGCCTCAGCCTCCCAGAGGCTGGAATTACAGGCTGTGTCACTATGTGTGTCTTCTGGCATTTTTTGCTTCCTTTGTTGAGAGCATATATTTTTAAAAGACTTGCTTCAGGGAACTGATTGGCAACTTTGAAAGACGAGCTTTGAAAAGGATACCACCAAACTCAGAAACGTTATGATTTTGAAAATAGAAGCTAGGGAAAAGCACATTACAGGTGAGTCTTCTCACTCAGGCCCTTTTTTTTTTTTAAGTATCAAATTTATTTCATAGTATCATTTTTAAACCAGAGGTGTTGGACAATCACTGTGACTTAAAATTCATCAGAGGTGCAGAAGATCTTGATGAGCTGTATATACTGCAGTAAATAAAGTTACTGGACCATTCATTTAAAAAGGCCATGTCTAGTAGTCAAAACTTCTGGCTATACTACTTAATCAAAAGATCTTTGAACTCTGGACTTAACTATAGCACATCCTTATTTTGACATAATTTATTCTGTTTGTACAATTATTAATATGCCTGCCAGTTTTTTTTACCACTTATGAAATGTGATTGATTGATTGACTTTTTTTGGTACCAGGATCAAACTCATGACCTGGCATTTGCCAGGCAGGTGCTTGTGCCATTGAGCTATCCCTGGTCTTGAAGTGTGATTTAAATATTAATTCTGTAAAAGCTCTTTTAAATACCGGTTTTAATTTTCACCTCAACCTGTTTGACCAAAAAGCCCAAGATATCATTACTATGTAAGTTAAAACAAAGAATAAAATAAAAACAAAAATATTACCTATATATAATGAGCAAATTATCTCATAAAATATTTTAACTGTTTCAGTTTTAGCATAAGAAAAAACTGCTTCCAAGGTACTATAGTACCTTGACATTTTTACTGCAAGTTTTAAATCATAATGTTACCCAATAACTCATCTCTAAAAAAATAGTAGTGTTTATAAGTACAAAAATCATTACATCTGCTAGGTGGTACAAAGTAAGACAGTTCTAAAAATAAGGTTTTAAAAAATGCAGAATGTCTTGATAATTACCAGTTGTCTCAAAGGCTAAACTCATAAAAATACAGAATAGATGTATCTGTGATTAATATTATTTTGCTTTGAAAAAACCACAAATGACTCCAAGAAATAAGCAATAATGATGAAAAGATGTGATTAATCCCAAGCCAACTGTCACTTAAAGAGGACAAGTTTGACTTTAACATTCTCACTGTCCTTTGTCCAGAACAGGGTTTTAAACCACTATTTGAATTAGAGTTCATAATGTTAATGTATTTGTTCCCCCAAGACGTTTGTATTTCAGAACAAAGCTACAAAGTGGCAAATGACTAAGTCAGTGATAAAGAATTTGTGCTACAGATTGAAGATTCCTTTTCTGATTAGCCTAGAACCAGAAATATTTTAGATGTTTTCATATTTGGGAGTATTCATAATGAGCTATCTTGAAATTCATGTGTTTCCTATAGCCTGGAAGAAATTTTATACATTTTTTAATGCATCTGTATTTTGATTGAGACTCATCAGAGGTCAGCTGTGGAATTTTCCACTTGTGGCATCATATCTTTGCTTACAAACTTTTGGATTTTGGAATATTCTGGGTTAGGTATCACTGATGCACCAGTGTAATCAGTAGTAATTTATAATAACTGCCAGTGGTCACCAACAAACAATCTATGCCCAGACCTAAAAGTTACTACAGTATTGAGGTCAGATTCCAGAATGATTCTTCTGGATGGATGGTAGTAACTATCATAAAATCCAAAGAAACCTTATGGGGTCCTTCCAAAGTTGCATCATTTCCCAAATGACTTTTTTCTGCTTGCAGAACCTATATTCCCTTCAGTCTTTTTTCAGTCATTTAACTTTTGCAATATTTTCTTGATGTTTTTGTTTCTTTTTTTGCTCTTTCTCCTGGGCTTCAATCATGTTGGCCAGTTTCCAGGACAAGATAGCACTTACTAGAGGAATAAGAGCCAAAATGACTGTTGTAAGGAAAAATATGGGTCCTTTGCAGTCCATTCCATAGCATATTCAGCCCAAGCCTTGACATCAAATGTCTCTGTAGCAGTCAGGAAAATTTAAGTTTGAGCAGTGATCTCTAACTTTTTCCTGTGAGCCAATCAAATTCCAATCATCCCTGGTTGCTGTCATCTTCTTTAATTTAATACACACTCTTGAGAAGTTTAAATTCACCACACTGGAAGCAGAAAGGTAGTATAGGCTTTTAGAGACTATGGGTTGATCTTTTTGCTCTAGTGCTTACTAAATGTATGGATGCCAGAGTTGACCACTTGGGTCTCTTGTGTGGTAGTGAGCAAATGATGTCTCATTGATGTCTCAGGTTTTTCATTTGTGAAATGTAGAGAATAATAGTACCTAGCTCATAAGGATGTAAGAATTGAATCTAAATAAAGCACTTCACACTTGGCACATGAAAAGTATTTGGTAAGTGCTCTTTGTGAAAAATTTATGGAGGATCAGGAAAACTCATGCTTTATATTGGCATAAAAGTCTCATCTTGCAGTCATTGTGATAATGTTTCTTGCCTGTAGCCTAATAATTACCTGGTGTTCTTATTTTGATTTTTCCTCTATCTACCACCCTCTGTGATTCTGTATGCATGAAATTTACAGACCATTGAGTTGACTGGCCTGTTTTTTGGGGGTTTTTCCCCCTTTTTTTGGGTGCTAGAAAAGTTCCAAGTTATGGACTACAGCCTTTTGGTGGAAATCTACATCTTGGGCCATTCCCTTAAAAACAAAGAGGGGACTGGGGATTTAGCTCAGCGGCATAAGCACCTGCCTTGCAAGCAGGCAGTCGTGAGTTCTATCTCTGGTATCGATAAAAAGGAAAAAGACAAAAAAACAACAACAACAAAGAAGAGCCCTCACAAAAGGTACCTGATGCAAAGCAGCCTTGGATGTAGACTCCTCTATTTAGTAGTTGTGGAATCTATCCAGTCTAAGTAAATATGGAGATGAGATCATAGCATCAGACACGTAAATGCAGCCACACCCCTGTCCTGATTATAACACCAAGTGAGTACACACAGACACATCTTCCTCAGGGCACCTGGATACAGAATCCTACTTGGTGCTAAAATGTTTTAATACAACCTTTATTTCTGTTTATCTGTGGATAGCTAGATAAATAGCAGTTTCCTGAGTTGTTACTCTTTTACCTATAAGTTTCTTTTTTTCAAATGCCTTCATTCTTTAACAATTGCTGAAATTTTACTCCCTTTTACTGTATATTCAAATCATCAACCATAAAAGAATACATTTTGGATTCAAATAAACATGCTGCCTTAGTTACTTTTCTCTCATTGCTGAGACAAAATCACTGACATCCAAAATTAAGAAAGGAAAACTTTATTTAGCTCACAGTTTGTGGAGGTTTCAGTCCATAATCTGCTGGCTCCAAGGAAGGATAGCATA